GTATTTTGCTTCCTAATGACGCCTTATTTGAGCATAGTCTACCCAACATGGCCTGGCTAAGCTTCTGCAAACCCTGGGTCTGTTGAGCGTGGACAGTTTCAGAGTGGCCCAGCACCATCCAGCCATGCTGTCTGCTTGGCCCCCTGGTTTGCAGAGTATTTTCAGATTTCTGCTGCCATGGCTGGGCAGCTCCTCGCAGCAGAGGACTCCCTGACCCAGACCCCAGCACACGCACCCTGGCTGTGGTGGGCACGTGAGAACGGGACAGGGACATGAGATGGATGGGTGTAGTTATAGCGTGGTCTTTAATTGCAGAAGAGCCCGCCTACGTGGCTATCGATTCCGGGAAGCCCCATTAGACGTGCTCACTGGCACGTCACGCTATTTCTGGAGCTCCCTTTGAAAGTCACAAGTTGTGCTGTGTTTTGGCAATGTAGTCCCCGTTACCTGTAGTCACACAAAACCCACCAAGAACATTTGGTGTGACCTGCCAGTCTGCTGCGAGGCTTGGCAGAAACAGCCGTTCCTTCCCCCCCCCAGTGATGATGTCACAAGTGATGTCAGCATGAAGTACAGGGACCAAGTAGAAATGACAGTGAAAGCTTGGTCTGATGCTGATGTTCCCCTGGGGAAGTGGGCGAGGTGCCACCCTCCCGGGTCTCCAGCGAGGACTGCAGGTCCCCGGCAGAAGCCCTCGGTCTTGGCTGTACTTGGGGAAACAGCACCACCTATTTGCAGCATTGTTTTACGAGCGCCTTTGCAGAGAAGACAACGTGGCCTCCACCGTCGGGGTGTCTGTGACCCATCAGCAGGGCCGGGGATCCCACCCTGGGGCCAAGGGCTTGGTTGTAGCATCCTCTGCTGTCCTAGGTCACGCTGGGTTAGACCTTACCTCCAGGCGCCCCCCTGCAGCCCCGAGGTAACGCCTGACGTTTGCTCTGAGTTTAGGGCCACGCGTACGAGTCGCACAACGTGTGTGCGGGGACCAGGGGAGGGAAGAGGCACGAAGGGTCCACAGACAGGTCAGACAGTCCCAGGCTGGGGGCTTCGTCTCAGATTTGGCTCTACCTTTCCAAGGCAGGGTCTGCCCTTCCTCTCCCATGCACGGACACGAAGACACCCACCCTGAGCTCCGATACCCGTACAGGTCTCAGCCCCTGCCCCACATTTCCCCACAGCTGCCTCAGACAGACGCCAGCCCGTCGGGGTCCCAGAGCTGTCTGGGGGGGCAGAGGTTCCAGGAAGGTGTTGGCCCCACAGGACCAAGGGGGAGAAAGCCAGCCTGGCCCCAGCTTTGCTCTGGCCGGGAAAGCTGTCCCCACCCCAGCCCATCCCCACCCCAGCGGGGAGAGCAGCTGGGCGAGGGGCAGGGGGATGGGGCTGCCTCCAAACCCAGCTCAGCACCCCTCAGGTTTTGACCCCCATGGGTTCTGGGTGACAGAAGTGACCTAGGACCCCCCGTTCCAGCTTTACCACAGGCTTGGGAGGAATGAAAAAGATCTGCTCTATTAAACCTGCTGGAAAAAGGGTTCAACGGGTGGTCTGGGGCATCCAAAGCACAACGGGTGGTCTGGGGCATCCAGAGCTCTCGTGGAGCAACCGCTACTTCTTCTTGCCACTTTTCTTCTTGCTTTCGATCAGGTGCAGCCCCTGCTTCTTGATGTCTTCCCGGGTGAGGACAAGGGCATGGTCTTTGTCAGCAAAATCAAAGGGGTCTGGAGGAGAGAGTGGAGGGGAGCGGGCTGGGGAGGGTCTGCAGGGCCACCTCCGCTGTACCTGTGTCCCCAGGGAGAGCCGGCAAGTTTTGGAGGGCTGGTGGCATCCCAGAGAGCCCTCGTGCCGAGCCCTCGGGCACAGGCACTGCCTACTGGGTCCCAGGGGCTGGGACAGTCGCTGTGGGATGTGTCCCCCCCCTTTGCTCTCCTACCTTGGATCCCACTGCCTATGTCCTCCAAGGAAATCTTCAGGTTCTGCGGATCATTCGCGGTTGTTTTCTCCAGAAAATTTCTGACCTTCACAAAAGTCTGTGAAAGACACCCTGGGTTAATTGCTGAAGGGGAGGCGGGTGTTACAACCCAAGGGGTGCCCCACCTCGATGTCCCCCTCGGGGACACACCCCACAGTGCCCAGTGCCACCGGGGGCTGAGCTGCTCCATGGCTTTTCCCTGGGGCCACCTCCATCCTCCCAGCTGGGAGGACAGCTTGGGACGGGCCATCCGGGAGAGCCCCATGTGGGTCCCCAAAGACCACAGCAGGGATAGAGCCCCCACGCACCTCGTTGTCCTCGTCGGGGCTGTGCTTGTGGGGGGGCAGGTCGGCCACCCGCTGCACCAGGTACTGCAGCTTCTCCCCACAGCGCTGGAGCTTCTCCTCCACCCCCCTGGCCTTGACAGAATCGTCCTGGAGTCAGAGAGAGAAGAACCACCTTGGTGGGGAAAAGGAGCCACTTGGGGTGATGGTGGCTGCACAAGTGTCACTGAGCTGTGCCGTTGCACCACCGAGCACTGGCCGGGGCCGTGTCACCCCAGCGCCGCGCGGGTACCTGGCCGGGCACGGTGATGCCATGCAGATGGACCAAGAGGTTGTCGATGCCGTTTTCAAACTCGAGCAGCAGCTCCTGGTTCCTCAGCATCTGGGCTCGCATCTGCTCCAGCCGAGCCTCTTCCCACTGCAAGTTCATCCTCAGCTCCTCCTCCAGCATCCTGGAGCCAACCACATTCACATCCATACAACTGCGCAGGGGTGCAGAGACACCCCAAATCTGTTGCAAAAGCTGCTCAGGTTGCCCCCCCCTGCAACTGCAGAGCAGAGATGCTGCCTGCAGCCCAACTCCATGCTGCTGGTACCACTTCCCACACCAGACGAGGAGCAAGGGTCCTCCTGCTGCCCACAGCGGGAGCTTTGGGTGCTCTGCCAGGACCAGAGCCGGGGGAGCACCCTGCTCAGAGAACCTCCCGGTGCAGGAGGGGTGGGCGGCCGCAGTGGGAGGGAGGAAGGGGTGCCCTGTTGGGACACCCGTGATGCACATGTCCCCCCCAAAGTGTGGTGGCCCAGTTGGCATGACTGTCCCGAGGCCAGCAGCACCTGGTTTTGCTGGGGGGCTGGCGAAACTTCAGCTCAGCCTGCTTCAGCTCCAGCTCCTTCAGCGTCTCCTTCAGCAACTGCTTCTTCTCCTTGCATTCCTTGACATACTGCTCCACGTCCACTGAGGACTTCTGCTGCGCCAGGAGCCTGCCGGGGATGTCCTGGCCGGGGGAGAGCACGAGGACTCAGCCCGTGGTGCTCCTGCAGGGTGCAGGATCCGGGCCGTGGCCTCGGGGAGGTTTCTGCACCATGGACTGCTGCAAGCTCATGTCATGGAGAAAAGCAGCTCTATCCCTGCCCGCACAAGAGGGGCTTTGGGGGGCTCCAGGGACAGAGGAGAGCAGATAACCCCGCAGTGAAACAAGGTGAGCAGAGAGGTCTCAGCTCCCTGGGGCTCGAGCAGCCCCAGGTTTTACTGGAGATGGGTTTTTACGTTACCCAGAGGTGGGAGCACTGCACCGCAGTCTTGGCCTTCTCCATCTTCTCGGTCACCCAGGCCTCGTGCTCCTTCTGGGACTTGGTGGCCTCCAGATCGGCGCCTGGGGTGGGAGGGAAGCGGCAGGGAAGGATGCCAGAGGCTGCTCCCACGTCCCACCCCCCTGCACCCCACCAGGCACTCACCCACCAGCGGGTCCGGTGGGTGCATGGTCGGGAAGTCCATGGTGAGCTCATACCCGGCTTGCTGTAAGGACATTCATCGTCACCCCCCGAGCTGCTGGCACCCTGGGGGAGCTAGCCCTGCAAGCCCCCCCACCCATGGGGGGGCTCAGCAGTGATGCCTGCCATCTGCCCGCACCCCTGCCTGTGCTGGGTCCCCCCCAGCTCACCACTCTCAGATGCTTTTCGCTTGCTTCCTTGAGCCAGAGCCTGTCGATGTGTACCTTCTGGGTGGCCAGGGAGCGGTACCTGAACTCTCTCTCTGCAAGGAACTGGGTTTCCATCTCGGCCATGTCCTCCTGGAGCATATCAGAGATGGGAGAAGTGGCTGCCATAGCCGGAATGGACCTTTGTGAGCCAGCTGAGCTTCTGGGATGGCCAGCGTCAAAAATGACCGCCGTCGTGTAAACAGGCTGGGAAGTAAACTGGGCAAGGAGGGCTGGAGGGTGGAGCATGCTGCCACCACCATGGCTGGTGCTTCGGGCAGGCTGTCCCCAGCCCCAGGGCAGTCTGGCCCAAGGGCAAGATGCGGGAGGAGCTATGGAGGCATCTGGGTGCTGTGGGCAAGCTCAGCTCAGTCTCTTTTGCTCTTTATTGCAGGAAGACTCACCAGCCCGGGCACATGGTGCCGTCTGTGGGCTCTGGAGGGTGGGAGAGGGCCCCAACGTGCCCCAACGTGTAACCCCTCACCTTGGTCACATCAGCGGCTTTGAGTGCATCCAAGGCCATGAGCTCCATGTCTTCCAGCTCCCCGTGGTACAGCTTGGCCATCCCGCACAGGATGTCCAGGTGCAGAGGCAGGTGGGCCAGCTCCTGGGACACAGGGAGCCACAGCGCATCACCCCACCGAGCCCCGGGGGCTCCCCGCGCGCTGTGATAGGGGATGGAGGAGAGCGGGAGGACCGAGCCGAGCCGGGAGGGTGTCCCACCAGTGCAGCCCCCGTGGCACTTCGTTGCCTTTGCAGGGGGAGGGGGTGGGACGATGGCACAGTGAGGAGGAGCTCACCTTCCTCAGGACATCCCGCACTGCCAGGTACAGGGCGGTCACCTTCTGTCCAGCGTGGACTTTCGTGAGCATCTTCTCAGTGCTGTTCTCCAGCTGGCGAATCACCTGGGGCAGAGGTGGGAGGGGGGGGACATGGGGTGACCCTGCATGCCGAGCCCAGCGCCCACCCAGGGAACGCGGGGATGGGGGTTGGATTAAAGCCCCCCACAGGTGCTGCCACCCCAGGAAGGGATCCTGGGTACCTGCAGCTGCGCCTGGTGCCACTGGTCATCCATCTCGGCATCCTGCAGCTGCTGCAGCCGTCTCTGTAGCTCGTCCTGGGCTCGGCTCCGCTGCCTCATCTGGTACAGCAGCATGTTGCACGTGTTCACTCGGCGAAAGATGTCAGCCCGGAGCTTCTCCTGGGCCACCTGGATGGGCACGTGAGAGTTTGCCAGGCTGGAGGCAGGACTCGCTGGGCATCCGCAGGAGAAGGGGGTCCTGCCTGAAAACTCCCCCCAAAGCAGAGCTAGGGACACCAAGACGTTGCTCCAGGACATCGTCACTCCCTTGGCAGGACAGGGTCTGGGAGAGCTTTGCTCTGGGGGGCTGGTTGGGGTAAGGCAGAGGTGGGCATCAACATCTGCTGACGGCAGCGGCGGGTTGGGCTTAGGGACTCTGCGTAACGCAGACCAAGGGCTGGGCGTCAATAAAATCGATCTGTGCCCCAGATGCGGATGCTGGCGGAGAGCGGTGGCACCGCTCTGTCCCTGCAAGAGGCCCTGGGCAAAGACAGCTCTGCTGAGCCAGTGCCTCTATCTCCATGGGCTTATAACCAGGTCATAACCTTGGGACAGGCAGTGAAGGGCAGAGACAGCATCTCTCTCCCTGGGGTGCAGCTGGACCCCGCAGGAACCCAGGCAGACCCAGGGACACGCCGGGTGGGATGGCCAGGAGCTGTGTTGGGACAAAGGATCTGCTCAGGGAGCTAAAGGAGGACCTGCACGGATGGGTCCTGCGGCGGAAAGGGACCCATGGGACCACAGGTGAACACCCCGTGTCTCGCCACACCAGCCCTGTGGGGCTGCCCTTGTGCCAGCACCAGCCCCCTCTGCTGTGCACCGTTCTTCTGAGCGTCCCCGGAACCCCAGCCCCCTGCTAACAG